TGGTAGCCCAGGCTGGCCTCGAACTCACAGAGATCCGCCTGCCTCTGCCTCCCAAGTGCTGGGATTAAAGGCGTGCGCCACCACGACCGGCTGAATTCTACCTTTAATGTCCTTAGATTCCAATAATTTCTCTAGGTTCTTTGATTCTTCTTTTTGAGTAAATAGCTCTTGACCTGAGCTGTTTCAACAGCCTGCAAACAGATTATCTGGCACTTCAATTTATTTATTTGTTTGCTTCCCAGCTTGGGCACCTTCAAAGGTCTTTATAGTGGCCCATTTAAGCTCATCTGGCTCAGGAGACCTTGCAAGTGCCATCCCTGATCTGGCTTCAACTCCTCTCTTAAGGTTAATTTCTCTCTCTCTGAACCTGTAATAACCAACAGCTCAAAGCCTCCCAGATGTCACACATTCCAGGTCAAACCAGAGCAGAGCAGATCCTGAACCTCTCCTAGCACAGGCATCCCCTCCTCCAAGAAGGATAAGGACCAGCGGAAAGGATGAGAAAAATACAACAGCAGCAGCCAGGTCCTTGCTACTGGGCACCTGCTCTTTTAATTCTACTGCGGTATGAAATTGAGGAATATCTAAGAGAAATGGGTAGGGGTTCAGAGAGTGGCTTTTATCAATCAATATGAAAATATTTCCAATACTTAGAAGACCATTTGGCCCTGTGGGTGCCTCTTAGATTTCTTGTGTCTATTGTGTGCTCCACACAGGTCTGTAATGGTTGTTTGGACAGGCCTCCCTCACTACCTGGAGAGCAGAGGTTTGTCTCGCTTCATGCGGAATCCTCAGCACTGGGGACACAGAAGGCCCTCACAACTGAGAAAAGCCCATAAAAGCAGCTCTGGCTTTGGTGGGGGAGGAATTGTTGCCCTGGGGAATGCGGGGAGTGAGGGGACCCAATATCTGTAGTCATGCACATAGCAGTGTGACTAGAGAACATATCACCCCTGGGTATATAGAGCCTGGGCCCACTGCCACCTCTAGATTGGGAAATAAGAAGTACTTGGGTATCTGCCATGTTACTTCTTTGTAGAAAGTAATGCCACTTTTGTATTTTAAAAGTACCTTGTGGGCTGGAGAGATGGCTCAGTGGTTAAGAGCACTGGCTGCTCTTCCAGAGGACCCAGGTTCAATTCCCAGCACCCACAGGGCAGCTCACAACTGCCTGTGACTCCAGTGCCAGGAGACAGAATGTCCTCTTCTGGCCTCTGCAGGCTCACATGCTGTGCACAGACATACATGCAGACCAAATACAAACTCACGAACCAAACAAATACATAATACATATATAATACATAAATTCGAAGTACCCTGTAGGGTTAGGGAGATATCTCAGTGGGTCAATCACTTACTGAGCAAGTTTGAGGACCTGTGTTTGAATCCCAAGTAACCATGTGAAGCTATCATAGTAGCACATGTCTGTTACCTGGGGCTCATATGGCGAGATGCGGGGAATCCCTGGGCGTTCATGGGCTGACCAACTAGCCTGAGCTACAGCATCAAAATAAACAAGGTAAAAGGCAAGGACTGATACCCAGGCTACCTTCCGATGGCCACATGTGTGCTGTGGCCCTTGTGAGTCTGCACTCTCACATCCATCCATGCACGCGTATACAGCTCTCTCTGGAGAGAATTTTGAATTATGTGAGTATTCTGCTTCTCATATGCTCACCCACCAGTTTCCGTATGCACTACGGCTTCTTCCTTGAAACAATGATCCCCCTAATCATCACCAAATGAAGACCTTATCCTTCTGCAGTTATGAGGCAGACTTAGCCTCTGGAGATTTGCACAGAGTCCTTAGGAAGATTCAAGCAAACTCTTGCCACAGGTTAAATCTAATGAAACGTCCCCAGGATGATCCAGCTTCTATATCACAGTCAATTGGGGTTGACAAAATATTTACAATGGCTTTACCCTTCCATTGTAGGAAGCCTTGAATGAGTCGAGTTCTTAGTGAATGTGTATAATTTGGCACGGGCAGGTCCATGTCAAGGACTTAAGACCCCGAAGAAAACGGCAAAGCCTCCCCCAAGCCTGGATGAGGCTCAGAGGGAAGTGGCAGAGCCTTCCTTGAGTCCATGTGTGGATGTTGACAGTGTGTGCAGAAAACGTCCACCACAGTGTCCTCCTCATGGGTATTTACAGCCTGAACACTGCTTCCCTACAAAGACTTCTACAGACGTCAGCGAAACCTGCCTCCTCCACAAACACTCGTTAACCTGTAGGCAATAACCCTGCCTCCGTGTCCAACCCCATATAGTAAACACACTGAGCTTCCAGGATGCCGTGCTTTCTCCATCCAAGAGCCCAGGGCCACCTGACCCCAGCTATTTCTGTCTGTGTGTCCGTCCACATTTTGTCATTCCCTTACTACCCAACTCAGGTCCATCTCTGTAGCTATATAAGGACTCAGCTCTCCACACAGGAGGAACCTCAAAGTATTTGATCGTTTTCTTCTGTTCATTCATTTCTTTGTTTACCTGTGCATGTGTATTATGTGTGGCATGCGTGCTTGTATATATGCATGTTTGTGTGTGTGAGCAGGTGTAGAAGCCAGAGGTTGACTCTGGGTGTCTTGTTTGATAACTCCCCATCTTATATTTTGAGGCAGGATCTCTCACTAAACCCAGAGCTTGCTGACCTGGCTAGTCTGGCTAGCCAGCTTGCTCTACAGATCCCTCATCTCAAGCTGGCTTATAGGCATACCCACTCACACACACACTAGCATTTACATGGGTGCCGAGGGCCTGAACTATTCTTCTGCTTGTCTGTGCAGCATGGACTTTACCCACCGAGCCCTCTCCCCAGCTTCCGCTTACTTGTTTTTTAAGTCAAAATCTCCATCGCTGCAACTGGTCTGTTTGAATGGCATACCCCTTTTAGGGAATCAACCGGGCCATCTATGTTGGAGAACCTTAGGACAAATGACACTAACAAGTACAATAAAGCAGTTGAAGTGGCCGATGACACAGACTGGATTTCTTCCAATGTGCATTTTTAATATTGGCTTCAATTCCACCACAAGAACATAGCCCACAGAATCAACTAAGCAGGGCTCAGAGAATGAACTGACAATCAGGGACCCTGGTTGGGTCTGGCCTATGTATGGGTCCCCAACATATACATTATGGCTATTAGGTTGGTGTTCTTGTGGGAGTAGGGGCCATTTTTGACTCTTTTGCCTGCACTTGGGAACTTGGGACCCCTTTCCTCCTAGTGGGTTGCCTTGTCCAGCCTGGATATGAGGGTTGTGCCTAGTCTTATTGTAACTTGTTATGCCATGTTTGGTTGCTATCCCTGGGAGACCTTTTTTTTTTTTTTTTTTTTTTTTTTTTTTTTTTTTTTTTAACAGGGAAATGGAGGAGGAGTGGAGGGAGGGAAACTGTGGTCAGGATGTAATGTATGCGAGAAGAATTTTTTTAAAATGGTGAAAGATGAAATACCAAAGTTTAAAAAAAAAGGGTTCCAATTTCAGTGCAGATTGTCTAGTTCCAAATAGCACCCCTTGGAGACCTTTCTCTGAGCTCTCTCCCAAAATGCCTGGCTTCTACCGAAAACAAGTAACCTTGGAGACTGCTGTCTTTAGATGAGTGAGCAGGGTGAATCCATTTTTTTTTTTTTTTATCGTATCACACGCAGGGTTTAAATGCTGTAGAGTCAATTATTGATTGTGAATGTGACACTTTTGAAATTCTGTGGGTTTGAGTTTCCTGTATTAATTTCTATCAGAATTTTATGTATGCCGAATAAGCAAGTTCCTCCTGGGTTTGGTAGATGATTAGCTAATAGGGCTAGAGAGGCAAATCAGCAGTGAATTCTAGGGGAAGCACAGGACATGGAATTGTGCTTAGCCAAACTTCCTGTCCTGTGTGATACCAAATTCCAGACCTGCAAATTATTCCAGATCAATAGGGTCAGTAGCCAAATCTCCATGTCTGTATCTCCCCTTTGAGATGTAAAGGCTCACCAGCATGCCATGGACTTCAGAAAAGAGTCCTAGTTGGTTTGTAAAATCATCCATTTCTCAAAACTATCAGACCTATGCTAGTCTTCCTTTGTTTCTCCTCTTCCAAGAGAATAATGTTCTGCACAAAGTATTTGGGAGAAATGTTAGGCCAGGGATTTCCACTTCAAGGAAGTCCTTGAAACAAAGAACGTCTTTCCGGAGTACCCCTTTCCACCCATGTTATTTCAGCGCCCCTTGTGACTGCAGGTTCTGTAGAAGAAAGCAGAGTAGTGCCGCCATCACTGGTAATCTTCCCTGCTATGCTGACTGGAGCCAGGGTGAAACCTAGCCCAACAGAGAAC